CCCCAAAACCCCAAAACCCCAAAACCCCAAAACCCCACTCATAAGACCCAGATTGAACTTTCCACTAATCCAACTTCTCCTCTACTTCCTCATTTTCTCCTCGACCATTTCTCTGACCTCGTCATAATACTCATGCTGTAGAGCATCGCTCACTGAGATCCTCTCATTATGATCCATGACTAGCATCTTTGAAATCAAATCTAGGCCAGATTAAGCAGAGAAAATTACCTAGAGCAGCCTCGGTAGTGAACTTCTCGTTCTTCTGGTTGATAAATTTTTCCCATGGCTTCTTGCTATAGTTCCCAATGATCTTGTCGATCTCAGCAGTCAAAGTGATATTGTACCTAGAGAGGTAGTCGTCAAGAGCTTGTGTTCCTAAGACCTTTGTGATCTTCTGTAATTGGTCATCATTGTCCTTTCCTTTGAAGAAAGGCTCCCGCTTGAAAACTATTCCTGATAGCAATCAGCCGAGCGACCATATGTCCAAACTGTAATGATAGAATGGGTAATTGCAGACTAGCTCAGGCCCTTTGAAGAATCTTGATGCGACTCTGGGATGGTAATCCTTCCCGGGGTAATAGAATTCAGCGAGTCCCCAGTCAATGACTTTTAACTCGCCTGTATAGCTATTCACTAGAATATTATGTGGCTTGATATCTCGATGAAAAACTCCTCGAGAATGGCAATATTCCAAATTCTTCAAGATTTTATACGTATAATACTTAGCTTCAAATGGAGTAATAGTTTTATAAAGCTCTTTGAGATTAGCATGAGAAACCTCCATAAATTCGGTAATAAGTACTGGGGAATTGGTTGCAGGGTCTCATACGACATCTACTAGAGAATTGACAAAGGGAGCATCTTTGACTGCTTTCATAATAGCAATTTCCCTGTTAATTTTCTCTAATTTAATAGGCTTTAAGAACTTCATCACCACACGTTGATTAGTGTTAAGATTTATCCCACTAAAAACTTCTGAATACTTGCCTCTTCCTAACTTTTGAAGCTTCTCATAATCTCCAGAATGACCCAGAGATGACCTATATATCCACTTATCGGACCAGAATTTGTCATAAAAACTCGGAATTGGCTGAAACGTACTCATAGAGCTCGGGTTTAATCTCAAATTTGCATGCATCCTTAAATTTCTTTGGATATGACACGATAGAGTCTAAAATTCATGAACAAAAGAACTGAATAAATAATCCTCACTTTGCTTATTATACTGCATAGAGCCTTTCTTAGAGTTTTTAAACAACTTAGCCATCACTTCTCTGGGCCTGCGGCTAGAAGCCCCCTTGAGACTGGCTGCAAAGCTTGAGAAAAATTTTCTGCTGAGATAGGTGTTCATCCTTGAGCTTTGGGATTTATAAAATATATTAATTTCAACCATTAGTTGTTGAAATGGGGTTTTGGGGTTTTGGGGTTTTGGGG